TACTAGGGTTAGCAAAACAAAATGCTGGGAGAGAGGCAGAGGGGATAGACAGTGAGAGAGAGAGAGAGAAAAAAAGTGAGAGTGAGCAAGGGGAAAGACAGAATAAGGAACAAATTCAAACAGATTATAGAGCTTCATGAGAGAGAAAGAAAGACAAAGAATAGTAAATATATATTGACAGCTTAGCTGATATCTATAAGAACTTGATCTGCGCTTAACATGCATAAAGTAGAACAAGATAAAATGTTTATACAGAGACAGACAGCCTGGAGAGATTGACAGTTTTTACATATCAATCAATATAGGCAAATCAGAAGTAACAGGAGACGCCTTCTCCCACTCTCTTTTTTAATTTAAAGAAAATATCTCACATTTCTAAAACTAGCAAAAGACTTCTCCATTTCATACACACGTTTCTCTCACTAGTTAAGCACTGTGCGCTAACATACTTCAAGTTGCTGTGCGCAAATGTTTCTGTCGCTTGAAAAATATGACGACAACTGTCAGCAGACGATACCAGAGTTTCAGCCATTTTTCCAGCTGAAAGATTCGAATTGGCAAGGCACCGCGTTGCGTTAACTTCTTTTCCTGTCGCGGTCGCACAAGCCTCCAGCTCCAGCTCCAGCTCCTGCTCGGCTGTCAGTTGCTGCACAACGCTTCCGCTGCTTAAGCAACGTTCAAGCATACACAAACACGCGAATAGAGTGAGGCTGTGGCTGAGGCATGTCACGTATGTTTGTGCCCAAGCATTCGCATAAACATTCCGTCACCATTTTGTCTACAGCTCCTGCCAGGCTGCCTTCTGCCTCGGGCTGCTGCTTGTGGCACATCTCATATCCATCTGCAGTGACAACACATTGGCATTGACGGGCGCGCGTCGTTTGTGTTAAATGTCAGTGCTGTGGCAGGCCAGGTCCCTTTGGCTGGGGTCACAGCAATTGACCTTCCATTCATCACAGGCCATAGCCGCAGCCACAGACACAGCCACCGCCACCCCCGCTGCCAAGAGCCCTGCACATTGTTTACCAAGGCGAAACTCTATTGATGTTTACAAAATTCATTTATTGATTATGGGCACGAAAGTTTTTGGTTACTGAAACAACACAAGCGCAAAATGTGCTGGGTTTGGGTTACTCTAGCGTACTCGGGTCTCTCTAGGTCTGTGGGCCTGCTGGGACTGTTGGGTTCTCTAATTATCCACTCAAATGAGGCTGAAAAAGAGTCGAGGCTGAGCTGTAACTGCTGTCAATTCCTTTTATCTGGCGTCGTCTGTCTGTTAGTTAATGATGAGTGCGTTGAGCGCTTCCATATGGCGACTTCCGTTTTACATTTTTCCTTTAAGCCTTTTTCTGCTTGGCAGCCAAAATAACTGAATAACTGTAAATAAGCAGGTTTTTTGCCTTGGAATGCGAGAAGTGCTTTTCGTCGCGTCCCTCGTTCAAGGCAAATTTGCCCCACACACACGCAACAAAAGGCAACAAATGAAAGACAAAAATATTTCGTAATGAAAGGACTTGAGAAATATAATAAATAATGACAAGAGTCCCCAAGCAAAGTGAAATGCAACCATGAGTAAGGCGTTGCCCCGCCCCCACTCACAATTCGCTGGCTCCGACGCTGATGTGCCTTTAAAGCACGATGACAATTAGAAAATCTTTTGGCACTGTATAAAAAGGGTTTTCTCTTCTCTCGCTGCTCATTTCGAGAATTTGTTTTTCCCTTTCTGTCACTTGTTTTTTTTGACGTGAAAAATGAGCTGCAAGGCAGCGCGGCGTGCGCCTACAGCCAGGAATAACAAAACGAGTCGAAATTTTCTTTTCAGCTGCATTTGAGCGTGCCAAAGATTTATGCTTGGGTCTTATTTTTTCATTATCTTTCCCTGTCGCCAGATCACAGTGATGAACCAATTGTTGAGCAGAAATCTGTGTCGCGTTTTTCATCAGCTAATTGATGTGGTTGCTGTTTTGGCGGATACAAAATTGAAGCTAAAATGAATTTGTTGAAGGACATTTTCTCTATTTTTGGTTTTATGTTTACCATTGTAATTTTGTAGTTAGCATTCCTTAAGAATTGAAATGTAACTAAAAAGCAATACAGCGCATTATGGTCTTGTGAAAGTTCACATAAATTATATATATTCTATTATATATATAAATTATATATTTCTAGCCGCGCACTCAGCCAGATTATTTTTACATTTTTTGGTTCTATTATCCTATCAAATTCATAAACATATTCAAAAATATTTGTACCTAATCATGTTATTAATTAAATATTTAACATCTAGTTATACAATATTATCTATGAACAAGAACAATTACAAAGACACAAATAAATATTGACACAATACAAAAAGGTTAAATACCCAAAACATTTTTGTCAATTGAAACTAATTTGAATAACATTTTGTTTTATTGTAACTTTTTGTGCTGCAAAAACGAGGCATATTCATTTTTCTATAAAGCAATCAAAAAGCATTTACTAAATTATTCAAAACTTAACTAAAGACACAGCAACAACAGCAACAAAAGAAAACACGCTGACAACATGAAAACACAACACAAAATGCAAAACATGAAAACCATTTTATGATGAAAGCCAAACAAAAAGCTCAATTTAAAATGCAACCAAGCTCCAGATAGATGTTGAACTATAGATGAATATATACATTTGCACACACATATGTATATATACATACATACATATATATATATTTAAGTATACGTAGCACCCACAGTTCAAGCCGAGAAAATGTGTGAGGCAAATCCTTGCAGCAATCGCTGCCTAAATTAATTAATTGCTGCTGCTCTGTCGCTGGCAATTTGCCACGCCCACATCGAAAACTATAAATTCAATTTGCTTTATCTATATATATATATAGATGCTATATATATGTGTATGAGAAGCATAATTTTTTGCTGCTTGGCTGTCGCGGCAGCAGACCAAGTCAGCAGTGAAGCCAAAGTAACTTTTGCCAGCACCCGAAAATCCTTTTTTAATTAAATTTTCTGTACATTTTGCAGTTTTTAGGTTTGAGTTTGAGACAACGACGAACCCAACGCCTCATATATGACAAGCAAGTCCTTTGACTTTGCTGCCTCACTCATTCTCGCTGACTCTGTCTCAGTCTGAGGCTTCTTGCAGTTGCGACTGTAACCAAAGACAAAGTTTTGAGCTGCCTGCATTGTGCTTGCCTCTGCCTCTTCTGTTTCTGCTTCTTATGCTACTTGCTGCTGTTGTTGCTTTTGTTTTCCTGTCAACTTAATCCAATTAGATGCACACGTACTACAACACTCCGTCTTACCATTGAGCACATATGAGCGCAGTTTGCACTCTGATTTTCGACCCACCTCGTCTGCTGCGGCTGCGACTGCTGGCATTTATCATCCAGTCACGATAATAATGCAATAGATAAGAGCATTTTTGTTTGCAGATGACACGGTCTATTCTCTGCTCTAAGAGATTCTCAGATAAGATGTGTTATGTATCACAAAGGCGTTTATGATATCTGACAGTAATTCTCGGTATAAATAGCAAAACAGTTGTCTTGAGTGTATGCATAGTTTAGAGGCAATTTAGAGCAGCAATATTTCAGAAATTTAAATATTTTAGTTTGAGTGAATAGTTAAGTTAATTACATTTTCTGCAGTTACCTTGTGAGTTGGCTTTTTGGCTGTAATTTAGCATTTGTTAGTTTATTCTTTCTCATGTTGATACGATTGTTTTATGTATGTGTATACATATAAATTAGTGTACAAACTATTGCACAACATACACACATATATAGCTATCTATATCTATTTGTATATGTGTATATCATATATATTTCAGATAATTAACACTGTAGATAAAACAAGCTCATTAATATATAATAATATGACATGATAGCTTGTACTCGCTGCTGGAGCGCTTTTGCTCTCTCTAGCTGCCTCTCGCTCTTTGTCTCTCTCTCTCTCTCTCTCTGTCCTCTATACATCATGATCTCATTATCTCTTCCAGTCTCTCTCTGTCTCTTTCTCTAACTCTCCCTCTCTCTTTTCTTATCTGTGGCTTATCAGTGGCTGACCTGCTGTGCAAATTGTGAACTCACAAGAAAGCCAATCGGCAGAGTGAGGGAGAGAGAGAGAGAGTTACACTTTATTAGCTCGATTAGCAGATCATTCTATACCCTGTAAATGAAGCTTAAGCCTGAGTGTAGCCTAGAGCAAATATGAAAGTTAGAAATCATCAAAAGTTGCTTATGTAAAATAAATCTTAAGATAAATACATGCAGTTAATTTTTAGAAATTATGAAAATGTATCAGAAAAACTCTACAAGTCAACAACTTCATTAGTTCCATTTGCTGCTCTATCTATGCTTCATCAACATGGGCAATTATCACTAAGAAAAATTAATTTTCATAAACATATAAAACAATAACTTTTATGTATAGGATATCTGCAAGTCGTGCTCATTTAGGCTCCTTAACTATTTTGTCTTATCTCTAAAATTGAAAACAAAAAAAGTAAAGCCAGATGCTGTTCAGTTGCTTTGGTTAAGCTGAAACTGTTAAAATAGCGCCAAGGCAGGCGTGTTATCAGTGCGCTCCTCTCTATACGATATCTCTCTCTCTCTCTCTCACTCTCCGCTGCTTCCTCGCCTCAGCTACAACCCTCTCGTCAGAGCTTTGTCTCTGTGTGTAACAACATTTATGAACATGACGTGCATTTTTATGATGTGAGCACACCGAGGGGCAAACGCACGCTTCAATCTGTTTTTTTTTTTTTGTTATTTATAAATAAAGATTCGCTTGTATTGGTGGGATGCTGCTGTGGCACCCTTTACCTCTCTCTCTCTCTCTCTGGCTCTCTGAAGCGCCGCCTGCTGCGAGCTTAGTAGCATTTTTGCAGTCGAAATCGTGTGACACTTGCGTCCGGCATGCGCTGGCGGAAACAAAATTAATTACAAAATACTCATAATTTAACATTTAATACGAACGCTGTCATCCACTCAATTGCAGGCGTCCACCGATGCGCACACAGCACAGGGTGCTCTGACAGCAACAACAACAACAACAGCAGCAGCAGCAGCAGCAACAGTTGCAGCAACATCCGCGTCATCCACAGAAATTGAGCAACTGCAGCAGGCGCTGCTCGAGAAGCAAACGCAGCTCTACGCTTTGGAGACAGCTTGTTTGCGAGAAACAGAGCGCCAGGTGGAGCTGGAGGACAGTGTGATTGCGTGGCAGGACAAATACGATCGACTGTACGAGTCGCACAAGCGCGTGCAGAAAGTCAATCAGAGTCTGGAGGATAAAATGCTCAAGCTAGTCGATCGCAACACCAACGAGCGGGCGCAGCTCACCAGCGATGTGGCCACGCTCAGCGTACGATTGGCCCAGGCCAACTACAACATTGCCAAGCTGCAAAGGGAAATTGTGAGTAGAACGAAATCATATTTATATTGATTTATAGATAGCTACGTAGTTAAGATTTGACTCTAAGACACTCCAAAATCGAGACAGAATCACATTGAAGTAAGTTCGTTGTGCTAGAATTCATTGATAATATTGGTTAATGCAAGAAAGTATACTAAAATAGCTTATAAAAGATATAAAACGTTCGATCAAAAAGTTAGACTGCGAAGATATGCACATCTAAAAAAAACAATAATATATAGAAAATATATATAATATATATAATAATATATTCTATAATATATAGAAAACTCGTTAAGTAAGCTGCGTAAGTCTTAACTAAATGTTAGGTAAAACTCTAATAATTTCTATCATTTGACAGGAAAAGAAACTGTTTTAAAAAATAAGATACTATGAAGGCTTTAAAGTATATGCTAAATTAAAATATTTATCTAGAATGCCTATTTATATTAATTTAAAATGATAACAGACTTTATCAGTTGGCAAAAATCGACTTTGAAAAAGTATGCTAAGGTAAGACACTGCAAAGTGTGAGTTAGTTAACAGTGGGTTTATGTATGTTGAAGATCGATAACAATAAAAATTATAGTAATATCGATGAATCGAAAAGAAATCGATAATAGCAAATTACTTAAAGCAAGCCATGCTACTCGATCAGTAAGTGTGGATGCTAAGTATTTTATTGGCATAGTTATTAGAGATTGTGTTAGTAGAAAAACTCTATGCTCAAGTTCTTGTCAAATTTAAAAGCAACTGTACAGTCCAAAAAGAACTTATAAAGATTGTTGTTAAGCTCAAAATTTAGCTAAAATTTGTCAAGTTTCAAAATAGAAACATGTCATGTTCAGTGGTCTTATGTGTATACAAAGTCTAGTGTCTATCATGTAAGATAGTTAAAGTTTTGAAAGTAGCTGTCAAAATTAGACATTTGACATTTCACAACTAGCTGCACTGCTCTGAGTTTTCTGCTAAGTTTTAGGCTAAAAGAGTAAAACTTTATACTAAAAGTAATAAAGGATACTCGAAGCTTTATCACAGTGAAATCCTCAAAAGCCTCAAGTCAATTAGAAATAATTTCGATACATGCATAATTTATATTCAATTGTTGCAAGCTTAATAGCTAGTACACAAAAGCCTTAAACAAGTCTCATGCTTTGTTAATTAGTGCAGCGTGAGTGCGCCAGGCAAATTGTAATGCGCTTTTCGGTAGAATAGAAAATGCCGAGAAAAGCATCGAATTTGCGCCCGTTAGGCTGGCCAGCTAATTGGTGGCCAACTTTTTGGATAGCTGTTGCCATAGAGGGTCGGCGTGCTAGGCGCTTGAAGGGTGTGGCATCAAAAATTTGGTAGCTGCAACTTTAAGCTCTTGAAAGTCGCTTAGTAGAGCTAAACCAATGCAAGGCGGCAAAGCGTTAAAAACTAGAAACTTTTCCAATTCAGTTCGTTTTTTGCTTGCTTTTTGTATATTACGAAGCCAAACACGAAAAATATCTGCGCGAAAGTTTTCAATTAAGGCAAACAGTAAAACGCCATCGGGCGAACTGCACTTTAACGGAGCGTAGAACGATGGGGCACTGGGGAGCGAGGGGCATGGCATCAGGCAGCCTTTTAACGCACTTTTACTATAATCGGTGCAGAGTCCAGGCTGGGTCGAGGTCGAGCTATTTGTACAGGCGATAGCCCATGTTGCAAACAATTAGCGACCCATTGGCTAAAAGAGAGTCTACAAAGTTGAGGTAATGGTTAATGGATCTGCCCCAGCTGGCAACGTGCACGCGCACACACAATCAACTAACCAACTGCATTTGTCTGCTTCTTTTATTAACTTGTTTTTGTCTTTTTGTCTCAAGTGTTGGGCTCAAATTAATACTTAAAGGACATTTTCACCTTTTAAAAAGTTTGCCTTGCGTTTTAAAGTGGAAAAGGTTTTGTTGAGCAGTAGTGGAAACTGTGACGAGCCAGAGGTAGCGCTTAGTCAGCTTCGATGTACTGGGCGTCTATGTATTATATATTTGTAGATACCTTTTTGTGTGAGTGGTTCCTTTTTAGTTCGTTTCCTCTTGGGCTTTACGCGCAAAAATAGCAAATATAGTTTCAGCAGAGAGAAAAAATCCTTGCTCTTCATTTCTATATGCTCTTAACTCTACCGCAGTTAATGTTTCATATTGTACTAGCTCTACAAAGTGGGCGTGGCATATCGCAAGTAAAGATCTGCTAATCTATGACTTTATCTCTTTATAATCGCTCCAACTTTCCACGCATATTTCACTCCTATATATAAAATTCCCTAAAACTAAAATTTCCCGCTAATTCACTTTCTATCTAAGCCCAAACTATAAGTATTTTAATAGTTAGCTGACATTCGCCTTTGGCTGACATGTTTTTTGGCCCTGATGTGTAGAAAAAATGTCGTTGATTGCAGCTGTGTGTTTTGTTGGCTGTTGCTTTTGCTTTTTGTTGTCTGTTGGCTGTTGGCTGTTGCTGTTTTCGTGCGTTTGGGGCTTGGCGACAATGTCAATAACCTTTAGTCGTATTTCTGCGCTTTGGCCACCCTGCTTGGCCGGATGAAAAATCAGCACTTGGTCATGGACTGTCGCTGCGTCACGTGCCATCGTGAATTCCGCTCACTACAGCTCTGTCTCCCTCACTCTTCGTCTCTCTCTCTCTCTTTCACTCTCTGTTTCTGGCTTGCTCTATCTGCATCCTGTGTACCTTTGGCATGCCTTGGCCATGGTTCGTTAATCTGCCGTTGGCTTTTTGCATGATAGCTTGGCATTTCCGTTGCAAAACACTTAGCCGTATGCCATAGTCCTCTGCTCGTCCTGTAAACTGTTGTCTCTCTATCTCTCTCTCTCTCCCTCTCTCTTTCTCTGTGTGTATGTGTGAATGGGGCGGCGCTGTGTCCTGTAATCGCTTGCCATACTTGACGGTTGTTGTGGGCTGTTATTGTTTACTGTTCAGGCTGTATGCAAAAAGATTTTACTCTCAAATACCCTGCAATCAGCTACCAGCTGGAGGTTGCTTTAAAGAGGCATAAGTTTTTGAATACGCAAGTAGACTACTTAGCGGTCAATGGCTGCTGAATGAAAGGTTATAAAGTTAAGAATGGCTGAGTTACATTCAAGTTTTCTGTTAGAGTTGAGGCTGAATAAGCCTTTGGTAGAGGTAAATGTGTTTAATATTATTTATATTTTTAAGCTACTTCAAAGACTCTTTTAGTAGAAGTACAATAAAAATTCTACGGTATTTGGCTGCATATTTGCACTCTATGCCATATTCTTTGGTTTCGTTTGAATATTTGATGGGCACTGGCTTCCATTTTGATACAGCCAGTCGTGTAACCCTTGCCCCCGACCATTGTAATTCCCACTTGCATTAAATGCCGGAGCAATTGTAAATATGCGGAGCCCCGTGGCACTGCAATTGGAGCAGATAAAATGCAAGCGCACAGTTCACGTGGCAATCGCACAGCTCACAGCTCAGTCACATTGATGTGTGGGTGGTGTGCTTCCGTTTTTTACTTTTTTATTATTTCTCTGCTTTGCCCAGGAACTGGTGTAATTAATGTTATGTACCTGGCGGCATCTGTTTTGAGTGTTGTTCGCGCTGTTCACTTGTGCTTGAGTCGTGCCAGTCAAGACGGCGGCGGCTGCCTCATTGTCATCTTCCATTTGAATGCGCGGCCCGAAAACTTTCGGTACGCCCTGTGCAACGGTGCGTATAAGTGATTGCATTCTGAAGCTCCTTTCCTGCCTTCCTGTTGCTCTACTCGTCTGGCTGTTCGCCTCACTTTGCTTTCGGCTTAGGCGTCGCTGCTTGGCGCTTGTTTTGGGCCTGTGTGCTTAATTTCTTAAAAGTTATTTACATATTTGCCTGATGTGGTTTCCCAACTAAGCGAACGTGGCTTAGTTGGGCTTGTGCACTGCTGCTGTTGTGGGCGTGCCAGCGGTACGTTCGTGCTGTTGACTGATGGCTTTGGCGTCTAGCAGGATATTGGGCCAGGGATTTGTGAGTTTTGAGGTAAAGTGCTATTTGAGGCAAATATTGAAGCGCCGAATTAGCTTTATCTAGCAGCAAACAGGAGTGAAGAACCCGAGTGTAAAATGTGGTTGAAACAATTTGAGAAGTTTTATTGTACTTAAGGCCAGCATCAAATGGCTTTCGTTTATATTGCTTTTAAGTCAATAGCTTATTTGTTTATTTACTCACTTCTGCCTTTTTTCCTAGCTGTTGACTTGACTCACTGTATTTTGTATTTAATATATCTTTCTCTAAGAGTCATCCAAGTGTTTTACGCCTTTTCTTTGTCGTTTTTTCTTACTTTCTTTCTCTCAGTCCCTCAATCCTTTTCTTTCCTTAGTTCTCTTTTTTTTACTTATTCTTTCTCTCACTCTTTTTTTCTCTCTTTCTCTTATTCTCTTTCTACTTGTGTCTATTTTTCTCCCTCCTTCTCTTTCTTCCCAATTTATCTATGTCTTTGTTGGTTGTTTTTTTCTCGCCCCCTTCTCTCTTGCCCACTCTCTCATCTTTTTCTATGTCCTCTTTTTCTATCTCTGACTGTTCCTTTCTCTCGCTCTCTCTCTTATTTATTCATCATGTATTTTTGTTTCCACTGATTCATTTATAGATTTCTACTTTATCATTATCTTCTTTGCTACTAATCAATAGCCTCTCTATGCGATTTTCAAAAGTCAAAACAATCCTTATAACAGTGATAGGTTATATATACAGAAGCCATATTCTTTCAAACTCTCTCTCTCTCTCCCTCTCTCCAATTTCCTGTCAGTTCTGCTCAGCCCTTACACTAGCTTCCCTCAACTTCATTATCATGTATATCTGCACCGTTGCACAACCCAAAATCAAATCAAGCAACGCGGTAACATTCATGGTTCAACGAAATCCACTGTGAATCCATCTTGCTGTTTAATTTCCCTGCACAAACATTGAAGCGGCTTCCGGTTGCATGTCAAATGAAGCACAAATAGTAAAAGACCTGGAAA